TGTTATCTCAATGTATGATGTGTGGATTGCTGTGTTTCATTTATATTCAATTGTTATGATACTACACAATGACGTCACCCGCTTCAGGACGTTTCCGCCGTTCTGGTTCGGGGGCGTGACAGATTGTCCAGCATTAACATTTTGGGACTAGACGAATAATTATATAAGAGTATATAATTATTATACACTATATTAATACTTTGGAAAAATGATATTTACACTTACAAGGGTTTTCTTTACACTAAACGTAAACTTGTTGAAACAATTATGTGAGACAAAGTCTTCACCGTACCTACCAGAGTATACACTAAAGTCCTGAATTATAACCAGAATCTCGGTAAGAGAGCGTGATACATGTGTATAGATCTATATGAGACTGACAATCTCGCACCTAAGCTGCTAGCTACAGCTAGACCGGCAGGTCTGGGGTGACAAATGTCTAACATTCCGACTCCTGAAGAACGTCGTAGCAGGCCAACTTTGGTTTTAGCATGGTTGTAATAACTCACATGGGAAGTCAACGATACATTTTGTTTACGGGGTAACATGCATTTAAATGGTTTTATATAAGAATAAAACTACGTAATACTCTTTTAAGTATAAGAATACTTACACATTTTTGGTCTTAAGGATTTTAAGACTACAACTAATCTTTACGAAAATATTGGATTTTATGGGAACAAATACTATCATTTTTACAAGGAAAGAGTTACAAATTTTTGCCATACAAAACTCTTACGAATTCACCGACTTAATTGTTGACACTTTTCAAAACTACTTGTATTCTCAGGAAACCGTTAAACAGGTAGTCACAAGGCTTTTGAGGATGGGACGTTACGGCGTCGTACTATTCATTTTTGTCATCATAATGTAATTAGTTTTGAAACATACAATACTTGGAAACAATGTAACATTCTCAATTATATTTATGATGGTTGTGTTTGCTTTGATGAGTATTGTACATTATGTTGTGATACTGTTCAATGAAGTCATCCACCTCCAATCTCTGTGGGTTTTCAAACCTGCAAAAACAACCCATATCATAAATGGGTGGTGTGTGATGGAGCAGATCTAAAACGCATGAATGCCTCGTTGGAAACTATTACTCAAGGTATTGAAAAATGAGAAAAGCAAATCAATTTACTGGTTGTGGGGTGGTGGTTTAGATTGAGATGGGCTTTGAAGAAACTTGAAATGGGATGAAAATTGAAGAATACGATGGGATGAGAAAGAGAGAGAGAGAGAGAGAGAGAGAGAGAGAGAGAAAGAGAGAGTGTGTGTGAGAGAGAGAGAGAGAGAGACCTTTTATATATTTAATTATATATGATTTTTTCTTTTTTAAAAAGAAATACGAGAGAACATCATAAATGGTCACTATGGTAGTGAAATGACGAAAATGCCCTTCATTTAACGGACAAAACTTAACGGAGTTAGCAATAAGGACCAATCGTCAAAAGTTTTGAAAGCACATGGACCATGTATGATGTTTTTAAACCACGGGGACTAAACTTCAGATCTGGGGAAACCAAAGGGACCATTTATGATGTCTTTTCTTTATTTAAATTTAATACAAGAAATAATACTTTATAGTTTTTCGGAAAAATGACATAAAAGACACTATGTTTTTTTTACACCGCATTATCCTTTAGTTATAAATCAAACATTGTATTTTTTTCTTTCAGTTTTATTAAATATTGACCATTTTGATCGGAACATTTCCGGTTACCCGATTTTCATGTCAAGTTAGAACATTATATTGGAATGGTATGCTAACTTAGCATGAAAATTACTATGTTATCAAAAAATATTTGAGACTCCATTTTTGTTTTTTCAGAAGTGATTACATTATCATTTATTTAGATTTCAAACATCTTTATCGTGGAGATCTATTTCTACTATTGAACTTATTAATTCAATAACAATATGATTTTGGTGTTTCAAGTCAAACAATTTCATCCTAAAGATCATTATCTACGTATGTTTTTGTGTTTGCTCATTAACAACTTCTTGTTTGATTCTTCCAACAAACATTAATATTCATTGCAAATCAACGAATGAGTATGAATTTGTTTACTTAATCAACACCTCGAACACACTAAAACCCATCAAGATTTCACCATATGGTGATATCGGTATGAATTTGTTTCCTGAATCAACACCTCGAATCAAACAAGAAGATGTTAACTAGCTACACAAAACATATGGAGAAAAGGATCTCCGGGATGATGATGTTCGATCTAAAACACCTAAATCATCTTTGTTACCGAATTAACAAACCGAATAACAGAAAAAGATATTTGAGATAAAAGGTGCTCGAAATCGATTTTTTTAATGTTGTCGCTTTTGAAAAAAAATTAATGAAGTATCAAAACCGAAATTTTCTTTTTTGTAAATATAGTGACTTTCATCTCATGTCGGAAGTACAATATATATATATATATATATATATATATATATATATATATATATATATATATATATATATATATATATATATCTTTTAGGGGAAATGACACAAATGGCCTACAATGTTTTAAAAACTGGTCGATTCTATCCCTAAAGTTATTTTGTTGCTTTAGGCATAAGGTCAGAAGTAACTTGTCTTTTTAATCACCAAGACCTATTTTAGTAGGTTTCAGTGGACACATCAACAATGACGTGGATGACAATAGATGGAATGACGTTAATAGCTGCAGACACGAGTAACAAGTTGGCGATGGTGGCACTACGTCTCCCGTAGACATTTTATTGAACACTTTCTCTGCATGATTTACGCCACTATATTCACCATAAAATCGCAGAAGGGTGTTCCCAACGAATACATCAGAATGAAACCCAATTTGCAAACCAACCCATGAACCTCTTGTCCCTTCCAGACCTTGTGATAATTTGAACAAACTTTGAGCACAAATGGGAAAGAATTATCATCAGGGTTTTTGAATTCATATATATCCATACAAATTGCCAATCACCAAACATGTACATTGTTTTCAATTAATTATCTACGAGTAATTAACATGGAGAACCCTAACATGATTAAGAGAGTACACATAAATGAGATCGGTGGTGAAAGGAGACACAATCATCGAAACGAATTTACAGAGCTTGCATTACCTGAAACTAATAGTAAAGGAAACATTGATGTTACATGCTCCTAAACCTTTGTTAGTACCTAGAGAATGTCAGCAAGATTGCAACGTCGATGGATATGACATTCCAACCAAGACTAAGATACTTGTACATGTTCGCGCTTTGTGGAACAGACTTACGGTTGGAAAGATGCAAAAAGCTTCATCCCGAAGAGATTTGAGAACTGTCAGATCATAGGAGTAGATTTCAAGTTCATCTATTGCCAAAGAATTTTCCCCCGGCTTACATTTGGGCTTAGCATGGAGAGAGAAAAGAGAAAATAATCAACGGGCATATAAAGTGTGGTGGTAAAAAACGCTGATGTGCCCATTGAAACCGGTTAAAATAGGTCTGGATGACTAAAAAGACAGGTTACTTCTGATCTTATGTCCATATAAAGCAATAAAATAACTTTAGTAACTAAATTGACCAACCTTAAAAATATAGTAGAATATGTAGTAGGCATTTGTGTCATTTCATATATATATATATATATATATATATATATATATATATATATATATATAGCTTAGCTTATCCTATTCAAACTAATTATTGTACATCTATCGTATGCTATGAGAATGATAAAGAAAATATGTTGTTTGATGATATAAATATGTTCAATCTTACATAACTATTGTCATTAACACACATTCTCACTAATTAAATCGTCTATAAGGTAATCATACACTTATTATTATTATCCTCATTTCTGTCAGAATGTTTTATTGGGTCGTATTCTGTTAGAATGAAAATGAGTGAAAAACGATGTATGAGAACAAAAAAAAAATTAATTAACGAGAATGCATAAAAAAGACGATATTATTGTAAGGTTGAACGTATTCGCATTGCTAAACAATTTATTCTCTTAGTAATTCTCATAGCATACGATTTCGACTTCAGATGCGACATCCTATGTCTGATCGATTTTTCATTTTGATTTTGATTTCCGAAAATCCGATTGGGAACCTGTGAGTATCTATTCTGAGTCCTTCAATGTCGACTGTGACTGCGAGTCCAAAACTCCGATTCCAATTTCATGAACAACGAAGAAATTTTTATTCCAACTGAGTTCGTTTGCGAATCTGGGAAATTCCCGTTCCAAATCCGTTATGAACTTTAACAAATGCTTGCAATCTACGAACATTCGGAGTATTCAACAAAGAAATCGATGAAATTGATGAATTTGGGTTGTGAATCTGTCTTGAACGGCGAACCTCCCAGCCATGAATATCGATGATTGATTAACACTGGATGACATTGATGATGGTTTAGTTGAAGAAATCTGGATGATTGTTGAAGGTTGGAGGAGAAATTTTGATGATGAACGAACTGTTATCTAATTCTCTATAGTTACGTATTTGAGATTGAATGTTATTAACATATTTACAAGTTTGCCACCGTGTCTTTTTATGCTTAGATTAAATAAGTGGCTGAGAATGATTCCTCAATTCTAACCTTTTTTATTTTCTCAATTGAACTTACCTCTCTCTCTCTCTCTCTCTCTCTCTCTCTATATATATATATATATATATATATATATATATAACTTTATTTATTTGATAAGTTTTATAAAACAAAATCTGTTAAGCATCAAGACAAAGAAGCTCCCGTGGCGGTGAAGTAAGAAAGTGTTTGATAACAGAAACAGCAAAACAACCAAAAGCAACATAAATCTAAACCCAAATTGCATGTCAAAACTCATAACACATATCAAAATCCTACATCTGTTATGTTGTGGTTGGTTAGTTTTAGCTTCAGTATATATCCACATGCCACATTGTTTGATCACATCCATTTCATTCCCCATCTTCTCTCTTCGTTTATATCTAACAAATATTTATTACTATTATTTTTTTTTTTCAATTTTCATGGCTTCTTCAGAAGGACCCGACCCGGATCCTCGTCTAAAACCACAACACTCCACCACCTTCGTGCAAGCAGACCCTTCTAACTTCCGGGCCGTCGTCCAAAGACTCACCGGAGACACCGCCCACAAACTCCCAAACTCAATCCCCTTCCGCCACACCGGAAAACCCACTGTTCACCGGAGATCCGGTTATAAACTTCAAGAACGAAGGAAAAGTGTTAAGAAACTCGAGATCACTCTCAGCAACGTATCACAGCCTGTCTGTTTCATGTCTCCGTTGGTGGTGGGGAGAGACAAGAGTGTGGTAGGGTTTGTCGGTGGGGATGGTCAGATGGTGGAGGAATCGCCGGTGTCGACGCTGGCTGTTTGTGGAAGAGGGAGCCCAGGAACGCCGATGGAAAAAGAAGGAGAAGAAGAGAAAGCCATTGCAGAGAAGGGTTTTTACTTGCACCCGAGTCCGATTCGAGAACCCGAACCCGAACTCTTAGTTTTGTTTCCGCTCACGTCACCGAAAAACGATCCATCTTATTCTTCATAAAAGCGTCACAGTCGTTTTAATCATTCATTGTGATCATGTGATTTGACTCGTTAAGTATACAATAAATTAACAAAATAATTTTATACAAAATGATAATTAATAAATAATTGCATGTTACGTTATGTATTTTGGATATGTTGTTAACCACACACTTCATTTATATCAATCATGCCAAATGATTTTGAATCCGATCCTAAGAACATATTACACAAGACTTGTTTTCTTTGAAAACATGTTTTCAAACAAAAATTCCAAACATTCACCCATTTTCAACATATTAAAATATAGATTTTTCAATAGCTTATTGATATAACACCTTTTTTTTTAATGAAAAGGCTTAATTACCAATCCATTTAAATATAGATTTTTCAATAGCTTATTGATATAACAACCAAAAATTGTTGTTGGTTTGTGAATTGAAGGCTGGATACAAAATATGTCAATTGCTATTGGTAAAAATCATTCAATGTATCAAATAAATCAATAAAGTAAATTCTTATACTTATTTTCAAATAATCTTTGATTACAACTTGTGTCCAATCTTACATTTTGTTACATAGGGAGTCCCTTTGGATTTACGATTGGTCTTTATCACCATCTCTGTTAAACATTGCCTTTAAATGTTAGTAAATAGAGTATTTTATCCTTTTACTGATTTGATCCAAAAACAAAATGGTCATATTTGAAAAAAACTGACAACCCAACATGTCAAGTCAAATATGAAACATGATGCAATGCATTTATGATTTTATTATTATGAGTCAAACAAAACCTCTTACACCAAGAGTAACAACAACAATAATCGCAACAGATTTGAACCAATTTTATTCATTCAACTCAACTCAGCGCACGGAAGCAGACACAGATTGCTGTTGAGTATGTCCATACAACCCACTCACCCCACTCGCAAACTGTTGTTTATTCCTTCTCCTTTTCGTCACCATAACAAACCCTTCACCATCTCCATTTCCAATTCCATTATCATCTTTATTTTTCTCCACCACTCCTTCATCATCCCCATAAATTATCTTCATAATCGCAGGTGTCTGTGTCTGTGACTGTGACTGTGGGGGTGCACTCTCACTTTCACTTTTCACCTCCGAGTTATCACGAACCGATTTCACAATAAAACTCAACAAAATCTGTCTCGCCAGCTCAGCTTTCTCAACATCCGAACTCATCTTTTTCACCTTCTCATCTTCACTCGACCCTGACCCTGACCCGGACCCAATTGTCCCACCTTCCGAACCCTGCCAGGCCCGTTTTGGGACAAACTCGGGTGCGTGTGGGTTCATGATTCGTGGGCCTGACCCTGACCCGAACCCACTTCCCGGGATTTGATATTTTAAGAACCCGTTTTTTAACCGAAATGATTGCGATTGTGTCATTCGGTAGTATAACGGCGAGCGGGGCCCACACGGGACTCGAGCTGCGATTGGTGGATATTCGGGGATGACGTCGTACACGTTGTTTTGAGGGCTGAATGGTTGAGCTGAAGCTGAAAGTTTGCTTCCGTTTGTTTCAGTTGTATTGTCTGCTGTGTTACTACTTGTTTCTGAATCTTTATTTTCTTCTGTTGACTTTTCTGATTCTGGTGTAGCTTCGTGAACTGTGTCGACTTCTTTTATGACTTCATCCTCTGGTATTGTGAGATCCACAACATCAGGTTGTTGTTGTTGTTCATTCTTGACCTCATCCTCTGGCGTGTTGTTTTTGTCCTCGTGAAGTTCTTGTTTTTCGAGTAAGGGTTTGAGAATTGTACCTGGTGGGGCGACTGCAACTGCTTTGTATGAGACAGACTTGGAAGCCATAGTTGCGGTAGTTGGGGAAACCCTAGGGGTGATTTTGGAAATTGAACTTGTTCTTGGGGTTACTTTTGGAATGACAACGGCTTCCTTTTTTTCCTGGATGTGTAGTTTGGTTAGGTCCGGACGTCTTCGGTTGAACTTTTTTTGACCCGTGTGTCCTGACCCAGACCGGATCTTTGGATTGGCTTCTTGCCATCCTTCATCAGAGATTGGTTCTTGGAATTCTTCTGTGACTAGTGTTACATTTTTAGGGGTATTTTCGTCCTTTTTCGCTTTTTGGATTACCACCTCTGGTTCATCTTCTTGAATACTAGTGGTTTCAACAGTATCATGAACTGCAGTATAGGCGTTTTTTGAATCTGTTTGTGTTTGTACTTCAGGAGACTTTTCGCCAACTGGTGATGCCTGATAATATAGTAGCAGAATATACTTTATTTTATTTTTCAGTTTCCGGTTTCCACATTCAAGTTCGTTAATTGTAATTACAATAATATATAGAATATATTTAAAGTTATATATATCTTGTATTTACATATAATATAAAAACTCCATCCAAAAATTTATTTCGTTCAACTAGGCTAACCAAACATGACCATGGAATGTAATCACTCATTCCATCACCTTGCTAATTCCATTACCCCATCCAATTCCATTCCATCCAACCAAACAAACCCAGTTTGTAGGTCAAGTTAAGTATTTAAAATATATTTGTTAAAAAAAACTTTTGTTGCTTTGTTAAACTCTGTATTTAACTACCTTGGTACGGCGTTTCCTCTGTGCATCTCCTCCCTTGGAATCCTGATCTGGATTAATGAAATCAAGTAGATCTGATACACTGCAAGAATGAAGTCAAAGTAAATTTATTAGTCAACAGAGATAAACTATTAAACAGTCTTCTACATTTGAGTAAAAATTGGATATACCATATTAATACCTAAGATGACCCTTGCTTGCAATCGATGCATCTGGTTTTGGAGTTCCATTTCTTGCTGCTTCTTGCTGCTCTAATGCTTTTGATTCAAAATATTCAAGCCATGCAGCAGCATCCTAATCACATCAAAATTAAAAAAGAAAACACAAATCAATACCCCATCATCTGAAATCTGTTCCAAGGCTTTATGCAATGTCATTGTCCACGTAGGATGTACACGTGTAATAATACTGCTGATGTGGCAAAATATTTAGAAAGTTTTTATTTTAACTCATGTCATCATAATTCAAATCTCATTGCTATAATGGGTAAAAAATTTAAAGCAGAATGCTTACCTGAGTACGAAGATCCTCTACTCCCAATTTTGCTTGAAGAATCTGCAATGTAGTTTGCTCATGTTGCACGCTTAAGGAATAAGCTTCCATCAATGAAAGAGCTATAGCTATGGCATGATAGCTTGCAGCAGTCTGTAGAGTCAAACATATTTAGTCAAACAACTGTATGTGTGTGTGTGTGTGAGAGAGAGAGAGAGGGACCTGTATGTGATCAGCTCCTAGTAATCTTTGGTTACACTTTAAGGCTTCATGAAGGTATCTGAGGGCAACATGGACATTTCCCATACCCTCTTCCATCATAGCCACATTAATATAAGTAGCAGCTGTGTTGGGGTGCGAGAGTCCACAAGTGAAATACAAAAGAAACAGAGCACGATTGACATATCTGTGAAAACACAATCACAATGTAATATTAATTTATTTTATTAATCATTAACCACCTGGTCAAATGTTTGACTAAAAAGTCAACATGATTGACTTACTTGAGTGCCAGTTCAATATGTTGGAGACGATAGTAAAAGACCGAAAGATCCCCGTAACTTTTCATTGTGTCTGGATGATCAAGCCCAAGTTCTCTCTCATTTATGTCCAAAGCCCTTTGTTGATAAATTGTTGCCTACATTACACAAGATTATAATTATTTAACAAAAAGGTAGATTTTTCCATGAGAATAGTAAATAGATTTTTATATGAATTTATTTACCTGATTGAAGTCACCAGTGTGGTAAAGAACTACTGCAAGGAGACTGTATGCACTAGCAGTAGTTCGGTGATAAGGACCACATACAGCTATCATCTTTGCAAGTGCCTTCAATATTTATACAAATATTAACAAATAACAACTTACTTTTATTTATATAAAGAATGAAACTTTTTGAATTAATGTTACCTTGGTTCCATAGTTAACTGCATCTTCTAGTTTTCCTTTATCAAGGGCAATTTTGGAAGACTCTAGTAACGTCCGCCCATCAGCAGATGAACATAATACATGCTGTTACATACACATTAATGTTAGGTGTTGTTTCTTTTTTACTTTAATCTAGACAGAATGACTTAATGGGTTAAGTAAAAAAAAAAAAACTAGTTTAATGTATTCAGACACTAACCCTTTACCTATTTCCCCTTACTTTTTCTTATATTGATTAGTACTTTTCATCCGATTTTAGGGAAATTAACTAATGAGATTATAAAATATTCGAACTTTGGATTACATAATTAGCTAATAAGATTATAAAAATGTGAATAACATTATTAAATACTCAACTTTGAATTACATAATTTTCAAGTCTAATAACTTATCAAGATCAAAACTAATTAAACCCTTCTTGGCTAAACATATTTGATAAAGCTGAAATTTAGAAAGAGTCAAAACAATTCTTAACTATTAGGTTCGGTTTGAATTATTATTAATATTATGATTAAATATTGTGTTCAAATTTGAGGTTACTAATCATATTATGACTAAATATAATTAAATTTGTACTATTATTTATAGAATATAAGCTGTGATTTACAACAGTTCTTAAATAAACAATCATTTGTTATTTACCATCATGTCTTTACAGAAGGGTAAAATGGTCATTTACTCAGATTCAGATAGTTGATTTCTGTCCAAAAAAGGAAGAGACTTTATGCATACAACATTTTATCCAGACAGAAATCATTATCCATTCAGCCACTTCATCCAATCCATGTCTTTGACTTTTGTGTGTGTGTGTGTGTGTGTGTGTGTGTGTGTGTGAGAGAGAGAGAGAGAGAGAGAGAGAGAGAGAGAGAGAGCTACCTTACAAACTGGGACCATGCTGATAACATCAGAACTCCTAAACGGATTTGGAGTTTCCATATCATAGTCTCGTGAAACCAATTCCAAACCAATCTGGATGTGGTTGAAGCTATCAGTATCTTATTTATTTTTTATAAAATTGA